AAAAAGTCGGTGTTCGAGGCATATATATTGTGATTAACAAGGCTTATGTAAAGTTTGGATTCTTGATTAGGAGTGTACTGGTTCTTTTCCTAATTAACCACACAAGGATGATAAAGTCAATGAGCCATAATTATTTGTTTGCTAGAAAATCTATTTGTAAATGCTATAATGTTTTCAATTTCTGCTGACTAATGCTTTGATGTTCTTTTTAACCTCTTCAGGCAGCTTGGAACTATTGTAGAGTTGGCAACTTTTGCATTTCTACAACTTCTTTCTTTAGCATGTACAACCACTGTGGCCAAGGTTATATACTCTTTTTATTACATGTGACACGGTTTTGCTTCTTGAGGAAAGTGTCTTTGTGGAAATCATTTCTCTACTCCTAGAGAAGAGGGATGTTGTGAAAAGGGGAAAAGGTCTTCCTTTGAACAAAAATTATATAGGTGCATCTCTTGTGTCTTAGAAAATCGCTTCATTTTATTCTCCTACATAAGATGTTCTTGAATCATTATTGTATATGTTTCAATTGTAGGTTGTTGCTCTCCATTGTTGCGTAGATACTGATGAGTTGATATGTCTTACTCGACGACATACACACGGGAGTTTGATTGACGATCGTTCAAAGGAGATATATGTAATAATCTTTTATTTTGTATTTAATTTTTAATTACGTTTACATGTACTACGTATTTTCAAAGATATACAATTCTACACAATGGTACTGTATAATTGTGGAATGTTTATGACTTATGCCTTATGGTATTGTATAATTGTTGAATGTTATGTTCCGATTCTCTTATGAGTGTGTTTGTATATAATATTTGGAATAATATTTTTTTTTATAAATAAAATAGAATTAGAGGCGGAATATTTCCCCTCTATTATAGTGGCAGAGAAATCCTCCTCTAATTCTAGAGGCGAATAAGTCCGCCTCTAATTTAGAGGCGGACATTTCTGCCTCTAAATTAGAGGCGGAATTTTTCGCCTTTAGAATTAGCAGCAGCGTGTTTAGAGGCAAAAGAACTTCCGCCTCTAGGTCCCCGCTAAATTTCTATTAGCGGCGGAATTTGTATGATTGGAGGCGGGGTTTTCCCCCTCTTTTCGCAATTATTTTTGTAGTGACTTTTTATTTACTTTGTTTTATCAAATCAAGAGCAAACATGAAAAGTTTTTATATTTTTAAACTTTTTCTTTAAAAAAACATGTAAAGTCAAAATGAGAAAAAAAATTTGTGGATGGAGGAAGTATTCCGTATTTCCTTATCACCTTAGAGCATCTCGAACCACACTTGCTAAACATCTGTTGCAAAACTCATTTTTAGCATATGAAAGGTGGTATAGCAAGCCATTTTGTATTGTTATCTCCAACTTTCCCTTGCTATAATTTAGTTAACATATATTGATTTCACTATTATAGTACACTATTTACAATAATTTTTAAATTTTATTATTTTATTGTATAAATTTTAAGTAACTTTGTAAGTATGCAATTTAAAAATACTAATTTAAAATATAACACTATTTTTTTGTAAAAAAAATATTTTTTTTGTTAGAAATATTTTTTTGTAAAAAAACAATTTATTTTGTAATAAAATAATTTTTTTTGTAAAAAAAAGATTATTTTTCTTCTTGCGTTGTGGAATTAAACGTGAGGGAACAAATGTGTTGTGGCACATGAAAAAAATGTAACCCAATCAATATTTTTGTTCTTTTTGGCAAGCTATATTTTATCAAACTTGTTATTAGTAGCAAGTCATTTTCATTATTTAGCAAGCTTGTCAAAAATTGGCAAGCCCCTTGAAGCTTAAATTTTTGTTTGGCTTGTCAAATTCTAACGCATAACAAGCCATTTTAGCATGGTTAGGGATGCTCTTAGGAGCAACTCCAAAGGAATTTCTAAAAGTTACTATCTTCGCCTCTAAGTATTTGTTCAGTTTTAATTTTTTTTCAGTCAATTTTTTTCAACTTCTGACCTATAATTAAATAAAATATACGGAGTATATCATATATACTAATTAGATAAAATAATATTTTAAAATATAAATCTAATACAATTATTTTTAAATATATAAATTTTATTTTTTATAAATTTAATTAAATAAAATTTTATTAAATATACAATTAGATATATTTAAATATAAAGTTATACAATTTATATATTAAATATAATTAAATAAAATATACGGAGTATATCATATATACTAATTAGATAAAATAATATTTTAAAATATAAATCTAATACAATTATTTCGTATCAATATCTAATATTATTTTTATTTAATTTATGATTGTTCAATTTTAGGCAACTCCTTAAATTCTCATGCTTAATTGCCATTTCATCGCAGTCTTCAATCTTCATGTGTGCTTTTCTTGATTTTACACAGATCTGACATAAGATGGGAATACTGAAGGAGTTAATGGATTGTCTGCAATTTATTTGCACATTTCAGCTCTGGAGAATGGCAATCTTCTGGACCCTTTCTCTGGTTTATTCATACTTGAAGTTGTATCTCCAAAACTTTTCATTGCATAAACATAAACCCTATCCGCGCTTGTCTCCCAAAGATCACTCGTATGCCTCAACTCTTCTGTCCAGGCCGGTCTGTGTAATAACTGGGGTAGATTAACTTGATTTGCTTCCACTGAGAATTCGATTCAGTTCTCTTAGAATCCCACTGGTTGTTTCCAAACAGCCCTTATGTTGTTTTGGGTTTTCACATGTAGGCTTCGTCTGGTCTGGGGGCTGCTGCTGCTCATGCACTTGCAAATGAAGGCTTTTATGTTGTTCTTGGTACTTCGCCTTTCGCTTTTCTCATAATATATGATGATATTGCTAGTCTTGTTTATGTTGGAAGATTTTGAATTGTTTAGAGCTTATTCTCTTGCTAATTTATATCAATGGACAGCAATGAAATCTTGTCGATTATGGGTGCTTTCGAACTATACTTTGTTCCAACTCTATGGTTGATTGAGATTTCTTTTTTTAATAATCAATGCAGTAGGGAGATCTTTGGAACGTTTATCAAAGGTTCGATCTTTGTCTTTTTTGTTTTTTTTTTCCTTTCCTTTTTTACGGGGATCGGTCCAAGGGATATTTGGGGGGAGCGGGGGTAGGGGAGGGATTGAACCTGGGCGAAGAGGAAGGTGTGTTGGTGCTATAACCTTTTGAGCACCCCCACGTCCTCCGTTCATTTCAGTTTTAACTCCAACTATTGCAAATCAAACTTTGTTTCAGGTAACATCTGATATCAGGAGAAGTGAGGTCGATGCTTGCTTGAAAGCTTTTGAAGTGGATATGACCTCCTTCGAGTCGATTGTGAAGTTCAAGGGGTCACTCCAACAATGGCTGCTGGATTCAAATTTGCATTCGTCTATTCAACTCCTGATAAATAATGCTGGAATCCTCGCAACGACCTCTAGGATCACTTCTGAAGGATATGACCAGTAACTACTTTAAAAACATTTGCTCCGGTATTGGTTGAGTTTATTTTGGCCCCGTTTGGCATTAGCATTAGAGGTTAGCGTTAGCCTTTTGAAAATGTTATCTGGTGGTAGCTTTTAGCGTTAGCGTTTTCAGAATTAATCTACACCATTAAAATTTTATCTAAAACGCTAATGGTAATTGAAAACGTTGTTCCCAAACAAGGCATATGACTAGTAGACGCTTATCATCATGACACCATCTACAAAAAGAGTCCTTAAGGAAACACTAAAAAGTCCTAAAGGCTAAGCTATGGTTCCACAGATTACTTACAAGTTTATTGGGTATGACTTGGCTTCCATTTATGGGGCACATAAGATGCATTTAAAACCAACTTTCTGCTACTCTGATGTAATTAGATTAGTTCCACTCAACATTTTTCACACCTTTTTTTTTCAGGATGTTCACAACAAACTATTTTGGTGCATTTTGTATGACCAAAGTCCTTCTCCCTTTGCTGGAAAGTAGCCCCACCCCTTCTCGTGTGGTTAATGTCACATCCTTTACACACCGGAGTGGTAAGAGTGAACCTAATTCAATTGTTCTTCAGTTTAATGTCATAATGGTTTTGGTAATACTTACTTGTTCTTTTTACCAGTATGGTCCATGCAGGTGGACCGAAGAGCTATCAAGTTTTTATCCAAATCAAAGCGGTACCCGTTTGCAGAAATCTACGAGTACTCAAAATGTAAGAGTAATTGTTAAAGGTCATGTATTGGTTGTTGTACTATACCCTTCTTCTAATAGCTGTTCCCAATGGGTGGCAGTGTGCCTTTTGCTGTTTTCATATGAGCTTCATCGACGAGCTTGTGTAATGGATAACTGCCATAAGCTCTCTGTAGTGTAAGTGTTATTTATCTTCAATTCCCTTCACATTCTCTAGATTGTCAAGGGGTAATTGCACATTTGTAGCTGAAATTTGTATAAATAAATAGAAGCCAAGGGGTAAAACCGGCAAAAGAAATTTCTCTCAAGCGTCTAACCTTCCCCCTGCCTTTAGTAATTCCAAATCTTTTTTTCATTTATTTGTTTTAAGTTTGTCACCCAAATTGACGATCGATTTCTTCTCTTTGATTGTGTAAAGAGCTGTGGATCCTGGAGCCGTGAAAACCGAAATCATGCGAGAACTTCCTTGGGGCATTTCTCACATAGCATTTATAAGCTTGAAAGCTTTGGGTCTCCTTCAAACCCCAGAAGATGCGGTAGGCTCTATTCTTGATGCCTCGCTTGCCCTCCCAGTAAGTTTAATGTGCCATTTTGATTTGATTTTTTTACCCCGAGCTAAAAAAACATCGTAAATATGACTATATTAGGCAAGCCTGCTGGAGTTCTTACATGCCTGGAAATCTAAGAGCTAAAAAAACATTGTAAATATGACTATTAGGCAAGCTTTCATACATATGTTTTTTCACAGGTATCATCAGGAGAATACTTCTTTGGAGGAAAAGGAAGAACGTTGGCATCATCCCCGCTTTCCTACAATTCTAAAATCTCTAGAGATCTTTGGGATACGTCAAATGATCTGTTCCGGGAATTGCAAGAGGCTCTTGAAACGCCTGATTAACGTCATTAGAGTTTGAATGAATGTGGACAGACGTTAAGTCTACATTCATGTGGTTTTTAACGTATCTTGAAAGTCTTTACCGACAGTTACTTAGGAATGGAGGGAGGACTTTGTAACAATGGTCATTGTCATTACCTTAATTCTCAACTATATATTATTGTATCATGAATGATGTAATTTGATCCTTTGTTTTATTCTTTTAATTAACAATTGCTCCATATTTTTTTAATGGTAGTGATTCCACATGTGATTTACTATTTCTTTGCTGAGTTAAGGCTATAGGGATCTGATACTCCCCTCCCTATAATAATGCTATAATAAAGTTCTCTAATTGAGATTAGTTGGCACTTTTAATTTTTTAACATTTAATTACGGAGTAATTAGCAGTAATTAATTACAGAGTACTCTATTTACTTTTTGTTTTTCAAACCACCCCCTTCCCATACCTTTTTTTTTACTCCGCATATACTTTTACAGTTTTACGGTTTTACCGTTCCACATTAAAATTTCATACGCCTTTTTTTATTTTCACAATAAAGTTTGTTTTTTAAGGAGAAATGATTGATTGTGGTATATAAATTTGAACAACAATATTTCACATTTTCCTATTTCATTGACTCAAAAAATTTAAAAATCAAATTTTAAACAGTTAAGAGTCTTTATCACTTTGGCGTGAACCTAAAATAAAATTGACGAGTAATTTCTTTGTAATTTTTATGTCATGTTTGGTACAAAACAATTTGTTAGGGAGTACATAATTGATGGATTTCATTATTCTGGAATGCTCATCAAGTGAACTCGTTACTTATATCATTTTTTCCTAAAATGGATGAGTCACACTTCCGAAGGCCCATCAGACCCAGTCGGACGGTCACTGAAATGAGATAAATTTGACTTTAATCACAGATTGGTGGCAGGGAGTGGAACCTCCACCTAGTACTTGCAGAAGCCCTATGCTTAGCATAGATGCCTCCCAGCGCAGTTGCCAGGAATCAATTTCGGGTCTACTCATTAACACCTCTTGTCTTTGCCAACTGCGTAATATGGTCCTTTCTACGGTTTAACAACATCATTAGAGGTTAGGATTACTATTTTGAAAAGATTATCTAACGACGAGGTTTTGCTCTAATATTTTCAATAATACTTTAAATTAAATTAACATTGAATTTTGATTCTTAAATTAAAACTATCAAAATCCAAAACCTAATAATCAAAATTTATTCAATTCAGAGTTATTACTTCCTCCATCCCAAAATAATATTTTTGCTTCGAACAACGTGCAAAAACTCATCACTTTTAAAATTATTTTCATTTTAAATCATTTTCCTTTTAAATTAGTATAAATAATAAAAAGTTTAAATTATATATTTAAAAAGTACGATCAAAGATAGATATACAAAATAAGATATACCAAAATATTTTATTTTATCAAATACAACAACAAAAAAACTTTACTCCACTGGGTGGGATCGGCTAAATAATGAACAAAAATATATAAATCAATAAAAATTATTGAGAGGCCAAAATAATAAATATAATATAATAATTTGGCATGGAGGGACTAAACGGGCAAACATGCATGTACGGAGTAGTAATTTGAAACGGAAGATGAATAAATAAGTCACACGATAAGAACACGTAGAAAACGATAGAACCACACGATAATAAGGCCGTCTTTATTTGGTCATTAAACAAAGAATGATTTCTTCTACTTATATGGCCAATATTTAAATAACTTTTGACTTTCCCATTGTTATATGGTTGAAATTTACGTTAAAAAATATTCCCCAATTTTTAAGTAGTTTGTTCATTATGACTTTTTTTTTCAAATTTCCACAACGTGTATACTTTTAAAAGTTTATTGATGTGAGTCTAATACCTGCTACCTCCCTTCTAGAAAAATCTTCTTCTTTGGCTTTTTTGTTCAAACAATAATATTCTTTGATTGTAAATTGTGAAAAAAATGTATTTAATTATGATGTAAATTTAAAATAAATAAGTTCATCTTAAAAATGTATTTAATATTTATTTATTCAAATTATGTTTAATTTGTAATTAAAGAATATCAGGATTTGACAAAAAAAATCAAAACGTGAATGATTTTTCAAGATGAATAGGTAATTATTTTTTTTCGTTCTGTATCTAAGGCACGCTTATTTTTGGCAATTCATAATAAACTTTATTTTTCCTAAAAAAATTAACTATAAAATTCGTGTTATTTCTCTCATCCTCATTAAGCTGTCGCGATTGATTCTACAGCCGGCCATCGATATAATATTTGTCAAAAAAAATTCAACTCATACCTAAAATAACACATCAATTTTTTCCAGGAATAACACATCATCAAACAAAGTCATAATACCAAAGAAACCACAATATCACCACACGAGAATGACAAATAGCCAAAAAAAGATGTACCAAAATCAATGTACTCCGTAAAATACTAAAAAAAATTATGAAATGACAATACACAATGTCAAATTATGAGCATTTCACAATGACAATAACAAAAATACAATCTCAAGAGGTCATGCTATAATCTTACTAGTCCCTCCGTCTCAATTTATAGTGCATGTTCACTATTCACAGGGTCAAACTTCATTCACTTTCTTTTTCTATTTTTGTTAACACGCACACAATTTGATAAAATTAAGTACTATTGTCAATACTAGTTTTGTGGATCTTTTGGTGTAGTATTTTAATATGTAATTTTTATTTTTTAACTTTATACCATTTGTCATATAAAATGATTTGAAAATAATTTCTGTCAAACATCGTAAACCGAAACAGACACTATAAATTGAGACGAATGTAGTATTATGAAAGTGGTGGTTCTATCTCGGATATACTCGTAAAACATAAGAAATCATGGTTTAATTGTATTTGGGTAAATTTTTAAAAAACATGGGGTCTAAAAATATTTCTATTTTAAAAAAATTCGTGATAAATAATGTTGCACTATTCCAAATCCTAGTAACTTTTATTTTCTTCGTTTATTTTTATTAATTATTTGATACAATATAATAATCTTATTATTTTTGTTTTGTAAAACTTTGGCATAGTTTTAAATAAATACGTTTTTTTATTTTTAAAATAATTTTTAAATAAAAATAAAAAATTTAGGATTTTTCCTTGTTTTAACATCTTTTTTTTCTTCAAGAAATCTTCTTAGATAGCAGTTTTAAAGTATGAAAATACTAAAATAGGAGTTCTAAATCTTTTAAGGCCAAACTATGAGTATAATGACAATTTGTTGTAAGAGCACGCGTTGGTAGTGTGATTGACAACTAATTACAGTGTAATATTCCAGTGTGATCAGTCAATCATCAGTGATCTGCAGTAGTATTGTCGTGGCCGATGCCGAGAGATGGCAGTATGAAGATTATAGTGTGGCAGTCATTTTGGTATATTCATAATTTTTTAATCCTATATAGGGAGTTTTCTTTTTTTATACTTTAATAAAATCAATTTAAAAAATCAAAGTGAGAAATTAGTCAATTGTTGGTGATCTGCAGTGGTACTGTGGTGTCCGGCGACGATGGATGACAATATAACGATTATAGTGTGGCAGTTTGGTGAGTGTGACAGGGTATCAATATCTGTATGATCTCTTTTTTTGGTCTTACAAGTCTTATAACTCCTATTTTTATAGTTTTTTTATTCGTATTTAAGGAATTCTTTTTTTTTTTCTTATTTTAATAAAATCAATTAAAAGAAATGGAAGTGAGAAAAATGAGGGGGAGTAGAAGATAGGGAGTATATACGGAAATGAAGGCGTATATATGTGTATTTGTATAAATACAGAGAGAGAAGAAGAAGAGACAGAGATAGAGAGAGAGAGAGAGAGAGCGATGGAAGGGGAAGATAGGGTTCTGGCGACAGCGCAGCAGATCATGAAGAGCCTCCACACTTCTGCGGACACTGACGATATGCTTCTCATCTTCTCCCGCTTCGACAATCGCCTCTCCAATCTCTCCAATTTCATGTCCTCCTCCTCCGCCACTTCCACTCCTTCCTCCGCCAAGGCCGCCGGCGCCGCCCAAGCCGACGGCTTCGCCTTCGACAGCCGCTTCGAGGAAGCCGAGAAGCTCATCGCCGACGGCACCGCCTGCCTCTCCTCCGACTCCGATGTCTTCCTCTCCGCCGTCGACGAGATCATTCGCATGACCGAGGATCTTGAGATTTCCCGCCCCCGCGACGAGGCCGCCATGGACCGCGTCGACGCCGCTCTTCAGCTCGCGATGTCGCAGCTGGAGGACGAGTTCAGGAACATTCTCGCTCGCGGCACTGTTCCTCTTGACACCGAGCGCCTCCACCACTCCTCCTTCATTCGCCGCTCCTCCCTCTCTCCCTCTGTTTCCGAGTTTCCGGATTTCGAGACTGGGACGGTTTCTGAAGGAGGAGACCGCGGGGTTGTGGGGAGCAGCGGGAGGTACAATCACTTGAGAGGCCCCAGTCTTGGTGGTTTGGAGATGAATCTTGACTTGATCAATCCAGATTTCGTTGATGAACTTAAAGAGATTGCGGACAGGATGATCCGATCTGGCTATGAGAAGGAATGCTGTCAAGTTTACTCCACGGTCCGGCGAGACGTGCTGGATGAGTTCATGTCAGTTCTTGGCGTTGAGAAGGTTAGCATTGAGGAAGTCCAGAAGATGGAGGGGCGGTCTCTGGATGAGAAGATGAAGAAATGGACCTACACTGTGAAAATTGTTGTGAGAGTTATCCTGTCTGGTGAAAAGCAACTCTGCGAACATTTTTTTAGTGGTTCTGATTTGACCAAAGAAATATGTTTCATTGAGACTGCAAAGGGATGTGTAATGCAGATCTTGAATTTTGGGGAGGCTGTGGTCATAGGCAAGAAGTCTTCGGAGAAATTATTCCGAATTCTGGACATGTATGATGCTCTATCTGCTGTTATGCCCGATTTAGAGGATCTTTTTAGCCACGAGGCAGGGGAAATGGTGTGCAGTGAAGCTAAGGGAGTCTTGGATGGCTTAGGAGAAGCGGCTATAGGGACGTTTGTGGAATTTGAAAATGCAGTTCAAGGGGAGGCTTCCAAGACTCCCATCCAAGGCGGTGAGATCCATCCATTGACTCGTTATGTTATGAATTACTTGATATATCTTGTCGATTATAGCAATACAATTAACGAACTCCTAAGCAATGTTGAGAGTGGGTTGGAATCTGAGAGCTCTCAAGTAGACGATGATAGGGAGTT